AAGTCCAGGTTGAAAAGAGCCATCCTCCTGGTGGTTGCTGTGAGCCGACAGGAGCCCAGTGGGGAATCCTGTAGAAAGTTGGCTGCGGCTTGCAAGCTGTGGTTTGGCACGCGTCCTCTCCAAGGCCTCTGCCAAATATTCAGATTTCTTTTTAGTGTTTTTTTTTTTTTTCCTTTTTCTTTTCATGTTGGCATTTTATTTAACTGTACCACATGAGTTTAAGACTGTTAGTTTGATGCATTTTGTCACCAGAACGGGCTATTTTGTGTGGAGTTCTTTGATGGAAGGTAAAAATACGAGGTGTATGTGGAAGGTGAACAAATTGCGTTGAGAGAAGGTTGTAGTAGAGGTAACATGAAACAGTAACACTGGTATTAGGTCTGGTTAGTGTATCTCTCCTGTATGGGAATTTAACATCACCTTTGCACGCCAAGTTAAAGAAGAGACCTTTGGTTCCCACTGGGAAAGTGGGGGAGAGGGAAGAAATGCAAGCACCCAACACCACCTTCTGATCTTTCCCCGAATGCATTAAAAAGTGAGTTCTCCAGCAGCTGGGCTGGGTGAGTGCAGGAGAGGATTCTGGGGTGATCCTCTGGCACTTCCCTAATTTTCCTTTCCGAGGGAGTCTGGAATTCCAGTGCGAACCCTTTGCCGAGCCGAGTGCTGACTGGGGAGTTGCGTCAGCTGTGGCAGCATTGTTCTGGATCAGCCTGACCTTTTTTAAAAAAATACATATTTTTCCAACACTAATAAAAACCTTAGCTGAGGTTCTCTCCTTTTCTGTGTGTGTGCCTGAGCACTAAATCAAAAAAAAAAAAAAAAATCCCAGATGTGAATCTATAAACCATCTGTTTAAAATAACTATTGTGCAGGACTATAATTAAAAGTTATTTATTGTGAATCTTGGGATCCTATTATGGATTTTGACTGACTCCTAGGTTTCTGGTTTAGCAAATGCTTTATGTATTTATGAGCCATGTGTCTCTTCTGCACTTCTCGGTGCCAGAGTGCATGTCCTTTAAACAAAACGAAAAAAAAATCCCCTACCCTCCCATAACTGTTGGCTTCTGAATGTTGCTGTCTAAGAAGTTTTCTCTTAAGAACAGCAAAAATCAAAGTATTTGAGAACTTTCAACAGCTCCAGAGACGCTGTTGACAACACAGATGGAGGTTTGGTAATAGAGCTCTCCTGCATGCAGCTACTTAGCAACTTTTTAAATGTATGGTTGGGACAAGTAATGAAATGTTATGGTTACTGGGGGTAGGAGGGGATGTATTTGGAAGGAAAGGATTTGTTGCTAAAGTCCATTTGCTCTCGCCCTCCGCTTTGCCCTTGTGCAATGGGAGGGAAGGAGGCAGCAAAATTGAAACCAGCAGATGAACAGTACACATTAAGAGCAGTGTTTTGGACGACAGGGTGAAGGAAAAAAAAAACTGGTGACAATTGCTCTTTGTTTTATCTTTGTACTTTACACCCAGTGGGCCTAGGAGATCTGCACTGGATAATGCCTGACTGCAATAGACTAAACAATGATTTACCAGCCCTGTTTTATCTGGTGCTGTCCTATGATTGATCTGCATGGTACATTAACCCTTTCCTCCACATCTGCTGGCCTAGTTTTCCACAAGATGCAGCACTGAGATAAAACAACAGGATTTTTGGCAAGAATGTCAGGGTTAAACCCGGTCCTAGAAGAAGCAAGAGGCACTCGGCTGCACTTCCCTGGAGCTACACTCATCTCTGTGTACTACAACAGGGATTTTCCTGTGAAGACTACGTCAGGGCAGTATGTTGCAATTGTGGCTCTACTATGTTTCTTCCACAAAAAAACCCAAAAGGAGCTGCAGCCCTGAGTGATGCTGTACCTCTCACCCTGGAAGAGCAGCCCAGCCCCGATGGCAGGGAGTTAGGCACCTCGGGGTGGCATCTGAAACAGCCAGTTTCAGAGCTGTATGGGGCTTGCCTATAATACCAGCTCGAGAGGAAGAATATCAGGTTTGCACATCCCACCTCGCTTAGGGCTTAGCCACCCTTCTTGTGGTTAAGATTGGCTCTATTTACCTGGGATGCACAGACCTATCACTGCAGGCAGGAGGCTGCAGCTTCTCCTCCAAGGGATAGAGCTGATCTTGCTCTTTAAAAAAAAGAAAAAAAAAGAGGGAAAAAAAAAAAAAAGGCTCAGTGGAATGAGTGTGGCACCTCCTGCCCACCTTTTAACACGATGCTGTAGCAACTCAGCTTTGAGACAGCGATCCAGGTTCGGTGCCCTCCATCTCCAGAGGCAATTCAAAGATTTGCCTCCTGCTTTCCCAACAAGCATCCTCGCTGTCAGGACCGGTGGCTTTTGGGAGCATGAGGAACAAGCCCCTGTTCTGCGGAAGCTGGGCCACTGAGCAGCAAGTAGTTCAAGGTCTACTGGGCTAAAGAAAGGAAATAGGAATCTGCAGCCTACTGCTTAAGACACCCTCCAAGGGGGTAGGACCCTTCAGTTCCTGTTGCTGCACCATGGGCCACTAATGTACTTTACATGGAATGGCTGCTTAATGTAAAACAGCCCTTGGCACTGGGACATGAACTCCGAAATAATCTTCCCTCCCAGTCACTAGGCTGTACAGCCCGGCTCAGTTTTGTTTTCTCTTTCCGGTTACTTCCATCCTCACCTGTAATGCAGGTCCTGAGTTTGGGGTTGAGCCACCAGCATTGCTGGTGATAAAGGAAGAAGAGTAAGATCCAAATTCAGCTGCCCCTCCCAGGTTGGCTTAATGGCATCAAACTTGTCATTGTCAGAGAAGATTTCTGACTGAAGTGATCTGAGCCAAACAGGAGACTTCTAGTTCGGAACGGTAACTAGCAAGTAGCTCCTGTTTGAAATGTGTCTCAGGGTCACCCTTAGGAACATTTTGTATCACCAACGAGAAGCAACCATGTCAGGATGAGGGCAGAGGGAGGCAGCCGGTTCTCGGGGGAGAGGGCAAGAAGCTGCCTGGGAAGCTGGGCTGCATGAGACGTTTGCCCCAGGAGTCTCCTGGGAATCAGGGAACAAAAAGAAATACGTAGCTGTGTTCTACTTCTTGTCCGTCTCCCTGCCATCTGCAGTAATGATTTCTCCCTTTGAAGAGGGAGTCCGATGGGTAGCTGCCTGCTGGATGCCCTTATGTGTGTCCTGCCCAGCTAAGTTGGCCCAGAAGGGCACTGTGCATCTCACAGAGGTCCATGGTGTATGCTGCAGCTGAATAAATCATGTTCTCCAAAGGAACACACTCTAAACTGGATTTTGCCCTTCCTTCAAACCTGCTTTCACCATGCAGAAGATTTTCCCACAGATAAAGGTAACGGGGCTGCTAGGCTTATTAAATCTTTCCGTGAGCAAACTCTCATTAAAAAGAATCGGATCTTAGCAGAACCCTTTAAAATACAGACTGCGTGTAGTCGATTTGGTAAACTTGAGTCTACTGCCCTTCAACAGGCTTTATGGAGGCAAAGTCAGGGGGCACTATGTTCACGTAAAGGGAATCAAGATTTCGCCCTTCGCTCTAAAAAGTTGTTGAGCCAGTTGCACTGCTGTGCTGTGGCTGCTTTGTGCCAGTCCAGAGCTACAGACCCGACATAAATTCAGCGTAACTCACCAGTTAAATTACATTTATGGTTGCTGTGCAATGCTGGAGTGGTGCAGAGCAGCCAGCATGTAGCAGTGACCTGGCTTTTTACAGTAGTTGTTTGTGTCGCTGCAGCTGTGCTTTAGGGCCTGATTCTCATTTGCTGATTTCACACAGGCTTGGTGAGAGTGAGTCCTCATTTAAACACTGATAAGATTGAAGTGCCTTTATAGCTCCCATCAGATCAGGCAGTGACTTTGAAGAAAATAAACCTCTGATTTTAGACAAAGAGCTGGAGTGTAATAAAAGCTGTGTGTTATCCTTCACAGGCACCTTGAATAAGGCCACAGGGAGCAAAAGAAAAAGACTGGAAAGCACAGATTCTTTTCCTTTAGTTTTTATGATTTACATTTTTCTAGCCCTTTAATTTTTTGGTCTCTAATTAAGTCATAAGGTTGGGTGAGGTGGGTACTTGCATCTAGTAAATGGCCACCTGTGTCACTTAATGAACTGAGCTACTAATTATAGGTGGAGGTCACTTCAGAGGGCTACTTTCAGTGAGGAATTTCAAGTAGCAAAATTTTACTGAAAGAAACCCCCAAAGTATTTGTTTTCTGCCCTCGTTTAAAGGCAGGGATAACTAGAAGGGTTGACACCACAGGGGCAAGCCAGGCTATAAATGGAATATTTGTCTTGCCTGCTGTCGCACATCCTCTATTGACATTCCTTAATGTGGTCAACGTGCTCTTTGGCCTTGGCCATCGCTGGCTTTTTGCCATAGAAAGATGACACTATAATGTACAGTGATTCTGCCTGCTTGTGTTGTTTCATCGATTTTCAGCATTTTGGGGAGAAAGATGAATTACAGTAGTCTGTTTTCTAGTATAGTATATAGTAGGCTCTTTTGAAGACCCTCTGACTGCCAGCTAAAAATGACTTTTAGAGAGTTTTGTTTTCTCTGAGGTTGCCACCTCTTCCTCAGCCATCTGTCCTTTTGTCACTGTGAGAAACGATTCCTGAGCTGTGCAGTTCATGGGGCAGCACCTCAAGACCCCAAGAATATTTTAACAAGTGCATCATGTAGCTAGTTGTTCATTTAAGTAAAGTGGATTTCTCCAGCGGGACATGTTTTCTGTACTATGATGGGTAGTGGTTATGAATTACTGTCTAAGTGGAATTTAAACACCATTTACTTGAGTTCCTGGATAATTCAGAGACTGTTTTCTACTGCCTTCCTTCAAGGGGAAAAAGGTGTTTTAAATCACAAGGACCTCTCCTGAAGTGAAAGAGCAAATTGCTAGCGTCATGTTTTATTTTCTGAGTTGCAAGGAACTGAACTGTGGATTTGGTTTGCTTGCAATAGCTTTTGTCTTTTTTTTTTTTTCTTTTTCTTTTTTCTCCAGAATAAGGAAGTGACATGCAAGAGAGAGAAGTGTCCGATGCTCTCCAAGGACTGTGCTCTCGTAATTAAGCAGAGAGGAGCTTGCTGTGAGCGTTGCAAAGGTGCGGTTCCCTTCCTGTTGTTTCCCTCTTTTTAAAATGTTATCAGTTCGCATTTATGTTGCCAGAGATATGAAAAAGTTGGGAGTTTCTCAGCTGGGACTTGGCTGTCACCAGGGTTTGAAAAAGGCATTAATGACAATTAAAATCAATATGTTTCCAAAGCTGGTGGAGATGCATAAATTCACATATTTGTCCTGTAATTATTAGTTCTTGCACAATGACAATCCTTTAGAAATACATCTTTATTGTACTTCATTGGTATTTTGTCAGTCTTTTGAGAGATATCTCCTGTTCTAACTTTATCTATCAGAAATATTTTAGGTCAAAATCAATCTGCTAGTAGTCACCGGTCAATAGAAATTCCTTAAACTTTTTGTGTCGTTGAACAGAATAGGAATAATGCTTCTGAGTAATAAAGAGCAGCGTAATTATCCATGACTATTTTTATTTCTCCCTATACTAGAAACAAATCAACCAAATTCTATTCATTTTACTAAATTTTTCCTGATTCAAATAATAATATTATGGACATTTTTGTTAACGCCAAAATGGGCAACAATCTGAACATCATTGTACATTTATTTATTGACCAACAGTGTATCTTCTAAGCTCTTTAGAATGAGCCAATTATCAAATATAAAAAATTAATAAATTAATTGTGTAAGCATGCATGGCATGTAACTACTATGCTTATCCAAATGGAAAATGTGCAAGTAGATGAAGTTGAAAACTAGTCTTTTTTTATATCGATGCAGTAAGTAATATGCCCTAAAACACTAATTTTGCTGAGGGATTGCTGACGCTGTCAATGAGATGGAGAACATCAGATTCAGACAGCTTTACATTTCTTTTTTTCTCTGTTGTTTAATTCCCCAGTGGTGATAGAGTGGCTTTGGGAGGGAGATAGGGTAGGATAAATTGTTGGGAAATGCAAGCGTTTATTGGCTTCCCAGAGGAAATACAAATGCAGGAAAACAGATTACACTGAAATTCAGAAGGAAGAGACACATGATGGATATGTGTTTTTCCTGGATGGTTGCAGAGGTTTGTTAGCTGCTGTGCTCATGATTTGCTTCTGTGGTGCAACTTTGGAATAGGTTTGGCAAGCCCCAATTCGAAGATTTGTCTAAAAGTCTGACACTTAAAAGAAAAGGAAATGAACTAGGAAAAAAATTAAAGCATTACTGAAACAGTAAGAATTTGTAGTTGCAAGTTTTACAGAAATTAAAAGTAATTTATTACTTTTGTCAAATAGTGTTCAGTGTCAGCTTTATGGCAAAAGATTCCTAACCATTGGTTTGATTAGGCTGGAGGCTGATTCTCCATTTTGATAAAGGGTTGCGTGGTTGGTCAATTATATGAAAATTTTATATACATACATATGCGTATGTGCACATATACACACAAAATTATTCTACACTGAAGAAGATTAATGTTTCAAAGTTGAGGATACAGATATTAGTGTGTATGGGCTATTATCATTAGATGGAAACTTTAATTCAGACTCCTTGTAAGATTTTCTGTTTATTCTGAATTGGGGCGAGTTCCTATAGAACATAATTAGTAGGCTTGAGCCTAGCATCTGCAGATTTGTATGCCTGACATCTCTAACAGGGAAACTAATAGAAACTGTTCAGAAATATAGTTAGGAGGCACGTGGATAATTGCAATACAAGGGGGGAGAGTTATGTCTTACAAAAATGCTAGTAATTCGAATTTATCATAAGTATACAGACAGAGAGATCCAACTGATGTTGTCTTCCTGGATTTCTTAGAGGTATCCAACAGATCCCTTACCAAAAACTACTAAAGAAACTAAGCAGTTTGTAAAGAAACTCAACAATGAATAACTAACAGGTGGTGACAATCAATGGTTATTTTAGTAACGGAGAAAGGTTACCAGAAGATCCTTGCAAAGATGTCAACCTGACAAAGTTCTCAAAAATGATCTAGAAGAGGGGTGAAGAGGGAGACAGTTTGCTGCTGCTGACCTGACCTCTTTAGAGTAGTAAAGGAGGAGGGCTGCGTGTGAGGAGTTGCAGAAGGTTCTTGGGACATTGAGCAACTGATGACAAAATGGCAAAGGGAGTTAATGTGGATGAGAATAAATGGGTGCACACAGGACAAAACAGTCCTAACTACAAATATAATGCTGGGCTCTGACTTCACAATTACCTATTAGTAACTGTTTCTCAGTGTTGTAAAAGACACTTCTGTAGCAGGATCAGCTCAACCCTCAGTAGCTCTCCAAAGGGAAAACAGAATTTTGACTAGAAGGACATTTGGTCTGATCCAAGATGGCAGTTCCTATATACTTAAGATGCAAGAACAGATTTAAATTTCAGAATTAAAAAAAAAAAAAAACACCAAAGAAAAAAAAAAACCCAAAACACAACAAAAAACCCAAAAACATTCTCAAGGGCTTAATTTTCAAAGTAGGTGTGAAATTTCTGAATAAGTTTTTAGCTCTTTCTGAAAGGTAAAGCTAAATATGCACCTGTATAACTACAGCAGTCCCGACACCACAGATTGTCACCAGGTTGTTCTGGTGCCATGGGAAGAGGCTGATGGAGCCACCTCTACCCCTAAGGGAAGCTGCTTGTTCTCTTGCCACTCTGAACACTGCTAAAGCTCCTGCTCTGTTCTGTGAAAAACCCAAAATGAGTGTCCCGTGGGCAGTATTTATTTGGGGAATCAAGGGTGCAAACGCCAGCCTGGCTGCGTAGTACTTCAGCTACTCCCTTTGGTGTCCCAGCAGCTCCCCGGCACTCCCTGTGTGGAGCTCAGCTGCAGCCGGGACTTGGCCCTGCAGCGCTTGTTCTCAGTCGCTATTTTGTCAAGCTGCCAGAGTGCCCATAGGGAATGCAAGCAGGAAAAGGGAAACAGGGATTTTTTTTTTTTTTTTTTTTTTTTTTTACTGGTTGCATTTCATCTAAACCTGAACAAAATGTTACGAAGAAAACACATCAGAACCTGGTGGATTTTTTCTTGGATTCATTCCCAAAACCTAGAAAAGCTTAATCAGGCCTTATGGGCTATTGCTAGCTCTCTTTGATAGCTTCACGTCTTCCTACCTTGTGAAGAAATGAATGAATGAATGAATGAATGGCTTCTGTCATTTGAGTACAACGTCAGGAGGATAACAGCAAGACCAAAGGGTATGTTTCCAGAATTGGCTTGTGTAGGAAGGAAACCACCACTCATGAGTCATTTGTGACTTTGCTGCCAGGATATTTTATTCTATTATGAGGAGTGCATGAGGGCTGGGTATGTAGGCCCAGTATCTCTGATAGCAAAGAAGTAGTCTGAAACGAAGAAGTAATATATGCCTGCAAAGGTGCATCCAGCTGAACTCTCCTGTTTAGGGCTTTGCATACAGGAGAAACTGAATTGTTGGTAGAGAATTTTTCCTGCAAATGGTTGTGTGCTGAGCATAACTCCCTTGCTTCCGTTTGGGTATTTGTATGCTACTTAGATAATTTCTAGGACCTTTTTCCTTTTTCTTAATAAACAAAAAAGTAAGAAACAGCAGCAAGTATAGCTTTTGCAGTCAGAAAATTCATTATGGTGGAAACAACATGTTATCCCTAACATGTTAAGAGATTTGGCTTTACTTAAGATTTTAATCCTCCAGACTAGCAATGTGTTTTAACACTATTCTTGACTTTAGGCTCATTGGACCTTGGATAGTAAAGTCGGTGGGGCAAGGCTCTCTTTTGCTGTGTGTTTGTACAAAGTCTGGAACAGAGAAATGTAGGCCCGTGATTATGGCTCCCTGCTGCAAGGAGAACAACTAAGTATAATAGGGAAAACTTTCAGTGAGATTATTCTTCTGACAGATACTTACTGTAGTTTATAATACATACTATATACCTCTAGCATACTATTCATTTTGAAAATATTAAAAAATTAAGCCCTCTTATTACTTTAGCATAGGATAAATAGGCCACTTTTCATCTCTCATTTTATTTAATAAGTTTAATGAAAACATATGAGATCATTGAGATTATAGAAATAAATTTGGCAGCATTTTCTTATTTAGTTGGATGGAGACATGTCACTTGGATATAGAGCTCTCTACACCTCAAATAATAAGTTATTTGCTCTCTGAAGAAGTGGTATTACCATCTCAGGGCTGCGTAAAGTTTGCATTTCTAAAATTGTGTACTATATTCTACTCTTTTATCCTAAGAATTTGAATCTTCCCTGGATGTGCAAAGACAAAATTGGTGGGTATCTGTTACAACAGATACAATTTGTTGTTCTGAAGTTTCTTTCACTTCCCACATGCAATTTTGCTTTTTCTGCCCTTGTTAACTTTTGAGAGTTACTGTGGGATTTTTTGGTGTGTTTTTTTTTTTGTTTTTTTTTAAAATTAATTAATGATCTTAGAGGTTCACATGCTGTGCTCTATTGATCTGGAGTCTACCAGAGAATGGAATCACAGCCCAGGCAACAGCAGCGCTAGTTCCCCTGAATATGAAATATCCAAAGCTATCGTAGTTAATTGTGCATTTCTTGGAAAGGATATCAAATATTATGGTTGAGGATTGCAGCCAATTTCAACTATTAGGGCTGGCTTGCAAAGGAAGTTGGAGGTTATGAGTTTATCAGTGTTCTGGCTACTCTACTAACGCCCTGCAGGAGCCATACATACATTTGGCACTTTGTTCGCCTGTGGACAGCCCTAGTATGAGATACCTGATACCAGTTTGGTGCCCTGCTGTAAGACTGGCTGGGGGGGGGCCTTTGTGTGGGGCCCTGGTCGGGCACTATAACTTGCAGCCTATCCTCACATGCTCTAAGGCAAGCTTTCAGAGACAAGGGTGCAACCTTATACATGGATGGAGGGGGACGGGCTGGGAAGATAATTATATATTTTCCTACTAAAATCTTTTCCACCTTCATTTTGAATACTCTAGTCCTGGCATCTGTCAGAGACTGGTTATGGAAAGAGATGGTTTGGGGACATAATCAAGTCTTAACTTTTCTCTTGGCCT